ATCATATACATTGTGTGACACAACTACATAATCAAGTACACTTTGAACGTTGTATTGTACCCATGTAAATATACCAGTGCATTTATCGCTACCATTTAACATGAAGAGGTCTCCATCATTACACAGGTTTATGAGACCCCTACCATTATAGTTAGTATCTTTTCACCTTTTATTATGTTATTCCCAACTTTCCCATTAAAATCGCCAAGAACTATTATCTTGCAATCCTCAAATTCATCCTGGATTGCTAGTACTTTGGAAAGAAGTGTGGAATAAATTTCATCTGTTAAGGGCCTATCGGTGTCTTCGCATGGAAAATATGCAGTGGCTAAAAAATATGTAGAATTTGGCGATTCGTTAAATTGTACCTTAATCCAAAGCCTTTCAATATCATCTGACTTAGTGTCAAATAAATTGTCATCAAGAATTTTAATATTTTCCTTGATGTAGAACCCAACCCCTCCCTGGCTTTTCTTGTAAATACAGTTATGGTTCTTGCCGATTCAGTGAAAATTTTTATATTTCAATTCTTCATCCCCTTTTAAGAAAGTCTCACTAATGCCAAAAATGTCAATATTATTAGAAAACAGGAACTTATTGATTTCATACTTTTTACTTTTGAGCCCACGAATATTGTTATAAAGCTATTTTCTTTTTATTCCTTCCTCTTCTTAAACGTGTATGTTTATAATTATTATGCTTTAATGTGGACCTATTATTTACAAAATCAGTATCATCATTAATGTCTGTATTTATGTTTATTGTTATATTAGGATTATTATTTATCTTTATATTACTATCTTCTATCACGGTATTACCATCGCCATTGTATGTATCAACTTTATCTACTTCATCGTTAAGAATTGAAAATCTGTTTTCTGTGTAGTAATCAATCAATAAATTAGAGTTAACATCATCTTGTATTACTATATCTCTATTTTGTATGGAATCGGCACATTCCTCTTTGTCAAACCTCTAACCTTTGAAAATATTATGACTTTGTTTGTGTCCTTGTTGCGAGCAAGCGTGACATACAATTGGCTTACCATGGCGTCGTTGATGTTCGCAAGCAGTTTCTTTGTTCCTAATTTATTCAGATGTAATCCACTTTTGTTCAATGAGGTTGTCTCGCACTGCTTATTAGCAAGTTTGAAATTATCATCATTGTTTACTACTATTATATTGTTTTCTTCATCGCCATTGATTTGAGATAAGAGTTCAGCTTATCAACTCGAGGTTGATTGATGGCTTGCATTGTCTATCCTAGGGCAGATAGTTGAAACAATGATCTCTATAGTGTTTGGTGCTTTTGTCTTAACTTCCTGTATAAGGGTATGGCCTCACTGGCTTTGTTTGCAAGATCATCGCTTACACAGTTATTTGTACCGCAATGTAAAATAACGGCATTCAATCCATCAAGGGATTCTGATTTTAGGGCTTCTGTTACATCATTGATTTTTGCCCCCTGGACGGCAAATTACTTTGGTTTTAGCTAAGCCTCGCTGTTTGACATGCTTAATGATTGAATCGCCAATAATTATGGTGCTGGGGCGGTCATTGGTTGCGATAGGTTGACTGGTTTCAAGTTGTTCTTTAGATGGCTCAGATGTTGAAGAATTGCCTTTAATATTGTTCAGATCTTTGGATAGTTCATTAATATCTTTCAGCAGCTTTTCATTTTCCTTTCTAAAATTGAAGTTGACTGAATTTGCTTTGTTAAGATCTTCACTAATTTGTTTGATAACTTCTTTTATGGTGTGAAGGGATGGTTTTACATGAAGGGCAAAACCAAGTTGGCCTTTTGCCCGCACCAGTAAACCCAACACATTTTGGATGAAACTGTCATACACGATACGAAACTTAAAGGTTTTCCTGTGAAATTACCGCATGAAGAAGGCATTACTTATCAGCCAGAAAATGGTACAATGGAATAGAAACGCATTTGCCACTAAATTTTAAAATTTTCAATGCAAATTAATGTTATGTGCTACTAAACTTACCTATTCTGAGATTATTTGCCCCCCCCCCCTTTCCCTTACTCTCGTTTGAAAAATTCTGGCTCTGCTCCTGATTTTTACACAGTTTTAAAGAAGATGCAATTGTTTGTGGTCCTAGGCTATATTACTATAATTATAAGGAGGTGTTCTGATGGACATTTTTAGGAACCTATGTATTATACACCTTACAAATTAATTTTATTATTATTATTTATACTATTCTTATTGTGCTTAAGCTGGCCTATGTATGATGTTATGCCTACCTAGCCTTTTAGATGATCATGCCCAAATGTTATTCTAAATTTTCCATTTTTAGGTAGTAATATGACTTAGGCCTATATTTTTCGAGTTACGTCCTCATGTTGCTACTTTCATCCCTCAATATCGCTAAGCATAATGTTATATGAATGTTAGATCTAGTAACTGCATCATGAAACAAATTAAAACGGCAACAGGTAGTAAACAAGAGAAACGTTTTATTTATTTATTGTATAGTCTTCTGTGTACCTATAGTACCTATGTAGACTATTTTTATATTTATTTTATTTTTTTCGTGCATGTTAGGATTATATATGTTATTGTCATTTTCTTTTTATGCACCTAATATGCTCATCTGTGTTTGGATTTTTTTTTTTCTATTTGTAGCAAACTTTACATTATTGTCATAGTAAATCATTGAATATAGCTTGCTATCAATTAATCATGTCCCAATGTCTAGTTGTGGGAATGGTCAACAAACAATTATTTAACATTATTTTGGTAGTTAATTCCAGTAAACAGTGTATTCACAAATAACTTTAGAAAGCTGTTTACTCGAAATAATGTTTACCTACTTTCACTCAATAGACTTTTTGAAATGTAGCAAGATCTACACTATGGTTTTCTGCAGTTTCATTTCCGTGTTTATAAGCGGCCCAGTGTAAAACAGGGCACACATCTGGGTTACCCTCCAATAACAACAGTTATTAGTTAGGAAATAACAATCATTATTACGAAAAGTTAACTATAAAATATTAATTTATTTCCTAGTGAAATTTTAATAACTTAATTCATGAAAATATTGTAACAATTTTAATTTATTAGTCAGTCAGTTATGGGTACTCATTACTACAATATTTTTTTTTCCAGTTATACCATATGCTTTATAATCATTTGGGGATTACTTGGTAACTGACGTTACAATTCATCCTTTAATTATAGTCACTTTATATTAAAAACATGAAAAATCTACAGGGAATTATTTTTTATTGCTACATTGTAGTACTATGGGAATAAAATATAGGAATTAAAAATGTTATATATACATATATATATATATATATATATATATATATATATGCATATATATATGCATATATATATGTATATACACATCTCATGTCCAAGAGATAGACAAAAATAGGCTATAAAACTTTGACTAGAGAATTGCTTTGGCCTTTTTTTTCGATTTTGCGTAAAATATAAATGGTTCAGTATTGAATTTTCAATTTTCATATGCAGGTCTCCGTTTTCAAGTAAAAAAAACACCACCACCATTCTTTCATATAAATTGTCCTATCTAACAATCATTCATTTGTTTTAAGATAACAACAATAAAAGGCAATAAAAAATCAAGCAAGACTACAATAGCTAGGTGCCAGCAGCTTAAAAAGCAAAATAATATAAAAATAAAAAATAAAATAACTTCTAAAACTCCGGAGAGTCAGCCACCGGCTTCTCTTCCTAGATTATGCTTCTCAACACATTATAGATCCTGCAATGGAAACATGTCATGCGCAGATACTAAAATGTCCACGAAATTGTTCAAGCGGAACTCTCAGCAAAATTAGATATAAAGATGTGGGGTAGGAAAAATATGGAACGCCGTTCAAGCAACAATTCGATGATGAATCAAGTGAATCGTCGATGATGAATCAAGTGATTCGTCGATGAATCAAGTGATTCGTCGATGATGAATCAAGCGATTCGTCGATGATGAATCAGATGATTCGATGATGAATCAAGTGATTCGTCGATGATGAATCAAGTGATTCGTCGATGATGAATCAAGTGATTCGATGATGAATCAAGTGATTTGTCGATGATGAATCAAGAGTGTTTTAAATTTTGCCTTTGTTATTCTTTTTTCATTACGGTAACAATAATACAAACAACATTAACAGCAATAATATTAAAATAATAAGAAAAAGCATAACAAAAACTTGATAATAACGATATGAACATACTGATTTATAGGCATATCAAATATACATTATTATATATATGTATATATTCTAGGAATATTTAAATATACTGAAATTCTTCTCCAATAAAGTTTTTCTAAAGTCCATATTGTTACATAGTATTCGTTTCCTATCTATTTTCTCTATGATATAACATGGTTTAGATTTTACCTATTATATAATGATTTATATACATACATACATACATACATATGTATATACATTTAAATATATTATATAGGCCTATGTACATACATATATATAATGTACATATAAATGTATATATATGTATGTGGGTGTGTGTATGTGTGTGTGTGTATATATAGAGATATATATATACATTGTATATATACAGTAGGCCTGTATATATTCAAATATACATATATTTCCATACATATGGTATACGTTTCTTATTATTTCAGATACATAAAGACGGTTTCGATTTTATCTATTATATTATCATGATGTATATATACTGTCTCTTATACACATCTAGATGTGTATAAGAGACAGTATATACGGTGTATATAGGCATACATATAATATATATATAATAATAATATATATTATATAGTAGTTTATTTAATATGTCTGTAACTCATTAAGCATTGTCATGATTATGTCGTTATTATTGTCATCATATCGTTATTATAATTATTATTTATATTATACCTTTTTATATTTTTAATAATATTATTTTTATTAATGCAGTTTTAATTATTGTAAGTGGATGTAAATGAAAAGAAATAACAAAGGCAACGATATAAAACACTTTAATTTTGGCTTTGCATTCAAATCTCTTTGGCAAATATTCAGTAAATACACAGTAAATTGGGGCCGAGTTGACTTAGGGTCGAGTTGAAATGGGGCCGAGTTGACTTGGGGCCGAGTTTATCTCTCTTTAGTACATCAGTGTTCTATAGGGAGCATGTCTATTACTTATGTCTAGGAAGGAATCTTTCCATTTCACCCATACAGATTCTATATCGTTTGCAGTAGTATTTAGTTCATAAAGTACTTTATTTTCGAGTAATTCTTGAACAAATGATTCTGCATCAAAGTTTTCATAATTTCGAAATTTAATTGTTTTGTTTCATTGTCGAGCGTCATATCTTTAGTATAATCATCGCCAGGGGATGTTCAATAAATAAATAGTTTTGAACAAAACGTTCTAAAAAATATTTTTTTAATTGCACATTGGTCTGTAGACCCCACTAGAGCATCACTCCTGTGTCCTAACTGTCCGGTTTTCCGGAAATTACATCCCATTTTTGATTGTCTTTTAGAAAGTTCTCTGTCCCCATAGGCCTTCTAAAAATACCAATGCTCCCACATATGCCTAATGGTAGGCCACGGTAGCAAAAATATTCTTTTAAACATAGACTTATGACGACGTCCGTGAGTAAGTAAAGACATAATTATGTTGGGAATGAGATGCCATCTATGGAGTCGCCAGTCTTATAGTTAATTATGATTTTGGTTCGAAAAAAAAATAATATGGGAACCGAGGATCTAAGGTTTTCAATTTAACGAATACATTTTCATTCTAGATACCGTATTTTATTTGACATATAAATTATAATCCATTTGTTCTTTTTTATTCTTTACTTTTTAGATTACTTTTAAAACTAAAAATGTTATGTTGACAAGTCAAAATCATGTCTGGCAAACTGAATCTGATTTAAAGGATAGACCTATGATCGATATGTTCCCCAATTTTTTGGAAACGGAAGAGAAACTCCGACAAGACGCAGTTTTACCGGTATTTGCAAACACAACTGATGGAGTTGGCTCGATGGGACATACAGATCCAACAATGAGTAAATTCTTCATTAAAGACGGAAAACCAATATTATTCGGTGAATTTTTTAGCGTCATAGTTGAAGCCCACGACGCAAACGGTCGTCATCGTGTCCAAGGAGGTGACTTTTGGTACCCAGTTGTCTCGAATGAAAATAGATTTGCTACTGCAGGAAAAGTTATCGACTTTAAAAATGGAACTTATGAGATAGTTTTTTTCGCCGGGTGGAACGGAGAAATGACAGTGAACATTAAACTTGTGCACACAAGCGAGGCTGTTCGGTTCATCTTACATGAAATATGGCACAAGGGAGGCCGAACAGTATGGGAAGGTCTATTCAAAGTAGGAAAAAAGGTAGAGACATCGTTATGTAGATTAGAAACAAGCGGTATCTGGCGTAATCAATGTGAATACCCGAACCCCCAGGCGCTAGGTGGAAGTTTAGTACTACTTTGTGATCGCCCGTCCACTTTGCCGTGTTCAGCATTTTATGCTTTACATACAAGTAAAGGTTCTACAGCAAATGCTACAAAGATATATTCACCATTAAGAGAAACGCATGACGATTTTTTTACAAGGTGAGTGTAGATATCCACAAATTTGTCCATCTATTTTGTGTCCGTAATGATCTGTCTTTGTTGGTCTTCTAAAAAACGAATACTTGTCTCCCTCCAATTAAAGACATTTTTATTCAATATTTCGCGCAGAGGTCAAGGTATTCTCAAGCCTTAGTAACGAGGTACCTCTGAAAACATCATTATAAAATAATGAAATTACGATGGCACTTAGCACAAAAAGGACAAATTAACATTTTAAAGATATACTGTCTGTCAAAGTAAAATTAAATTTTAACTTAAAACCTTTTAATAATGGAGGAATCTGTCCAACAGACATTTTACTACAAAAATCTTTAAGTTGATAGTTATTAAATTAAATGGTCAATATGTAAAAGAATACAGGAAAGTATTTATTTAACAGTCTGTTATTCAACAGTGGAAATGGTTTCTTGTTTAAATTTTAATTTAAAGTTAACAATTTGCTTATATATGGAATTGAATTTTTAGTTCATGACAGACAGTACATATTTAATTAGTTAACTACAATTCAAAAACAATTCAGTGTTTTAGGTCAATATGTAAAAGAATACAGGAAAGTATTTATTTAACAGTCTGTTATTCAACAGTGGAAATGGTTTCTTTTTTAAATTTTAATTTAAAGTTAACAATTTGCTTATATATGGAATTGAATTTTTAGTTCATGACAGACAGTACATATTTAATTAGTTAACTACAATTCAAAAACCTCCATTATTTAAGATAAACGTCCGAATCTTATTAAACAGACACAATACCCATCATTTGTAAGATGCTGGGAACCTTTTCCATTCAGGATGTTTGTGATTATTAGAAGATTTGGTCTCAAATTAGAATCCTTCTATTTAAAGTGGTATTTAAATTTCTAAAAAGAATTGGTACATTTAATATTAAAATCCTTATTCGACCTAATACCACCTAAGCCCCACTATGGTTGGGGCTGAGATAAGGAAATTTATGATTATGGCACCTCTAGATGATCGGGGACAGTCTTGAGCCATCGTGAGAAATATTAAACATGTTTAATATTCTACGATGCGACTGCCCCCGACACACACCATCGCATCTGCGTTTAACTCACGCAGACCAGACCCGACGCGACAACAAAACGCGTTGTCTTATACACATCTACAGACCTGAAAGTACTGCAAGAAGACACTTTGACTTAATTGAGACATTGAATTTTATTGGTACGAAATTTTCGGTAGCACCTGCTACCTTCATCAGCGTACGAGTATCTAAAGATTTATATTACAGCAAACAGTATATACATGTTAACAATAGAGATAACGATGGATGTAGTTATTGCACATAAACAACGTAAGTCACCATGAATAGAGCCTTTAATGAAGGGGAACGTTCACAAGAATAGTGCATACTAATTATGGGGATTAAGATAATAATTAAAACCATTACGAAGAATAGCCATTAAAATAATAATGGAAGAAATAGGCGATAAATGATAAACCAATCAAAATATTTAAAAAAAATATGTATAAATAGAGGCCTATGGAAAATTACAGCAACTGTACTAAAGAGTTATGAAACATTATTTAGTGAATGTAAAGCCTGAAGCAAAACAAAGGTCTTTATTAGCTCCTATTTTATGAGTCCTAAGTTTCAAAATCCATTTAATTTCAGCACATCTTCTTTATTAAGTGATCTGAAGTTGTTATCTATAATGATACATCTCATATTATTAATGGTGTGCCTAGCTCCGTTAAGGTGTTTAGCTAAAAGGAAGATAATTGTTTCTTAAAGAGCTTTTGTGGTTATTAATCCTTTGTCTAAATGTGCAGCCGCTCTCCCCGACATAACACACCCCTTTACATACGGTACATATAGGAGATATGATATTATGGGCATTGCAAGTAAGTGAAGGGGGTCTGATGGTGATTTTAGTGTTAGGTACACGGATGAGACTCTGTTATGAGGATAATGGCAAATATTACATCTGGGGTTACCGCAAGGTTTGTTACCTGGTTGGGGACGGGAAGAGGGGAGATTGGATAATGTGAGCAAAGATTTTAGGTTGGGGGGGTTGTCTTCTAGCCAATACGGGGGGTTCTTTGAAAGCTTCAGTGTCAGATATATTATTTTGGATAATTTTGAAGTCGTCTTTGAGTTGTTTGGATAGGTGACTGAGTTGAGTACTGTGGGTGAAAACCATAGGGAGTCGCTGAGAGAGTTTTGGGTATGTATTGTAGAAGTTGATCTCGGGTTTTGTTGGATGTTTTGGCCAGGTATTTCTTTATTATTTTGATGGGATATTAACTTTGTGCAAATTTGTTGATGTGCGTGCCAATGTGTTTGTCAAGTTCTTCTACGGAGGAGCATATTCGTTTGACTCCGAGAGCTTGGATGTAGATGAGCGAGTGTTTGATGCTGTCAGGGTGTTCACTATGTACCCTAGGAGCCAGACCAGGTTTTGTATGCACTTTGAGGTGCAGAGAATTTGACTTCAGAAATTGGTTCAGGGTGGTCCAAGAATCATTTTTGGCTTGGTAACATATTTTTTTAAAATGTGGCGAAAGGTCAAAAGGTCAGGGTCAAAAGTCAAAGCTATTAAGGTCCTTGTATCTCCGCAACCACAGGTGGTAGAGAGTTGAATTTGGTGCCAAATTGTTCGGAACATGCATATTTCTATTTGCCCTAATAGAACATTTTGCTAGAAAAAAGGTTTCTGACCTTTAACATGCTTCAAGGTGATAGCCATATTGTCCTTATATTTCCGCAACCACTACCGGTAAAGAGTTAATTTTGGTGTCAATTTGTTCGGAACATGCATATTTCTATTTGATCTAACAGAACATTTTATTTTTAAAAAATGACCGGAAATGCCGTTTCTGACCTTTAACATGTTTCAAGGTCATAGCTATATGGTCCTTATATTTCTGCAACCACTGGTGGTGTAGAGAGTTAATTGTGGTGTCAATTTGTTCGGAACATTCATGTTTGTATTTGGTCTAATAAATGAGTTTGCTAAAAAATGACCGGAAATGCCATTTCTGACCTTTGATATATTTTATATATCATAACCATTGAGTCGTTATTATCTCTGCAACCACTGGTGGTAGAGAGTTAAGTTTGGTGCCAAATGTTTTAATGTCATAGCCTTAGTCCTTATATCTCCGCAAACACTGGTGGTAGAGAGTTAATTGTGGTGTCAATTTAATCGAAGATTCATGTTTCTATTTGGCCCCAAAGTTAACTCTCTACCACTAGTGGTTGCGGAAATAATAATGACTCAATGGCTATCATATATAAAATATGTCAAAGGTCAGAAATGGCATTTTTTAGCAAACTCATTTATTAGACCAAATAGAAACATGAATGTTCCGAACAAATTGACACCAAAATTAACCCTCTACCACCAGTGGTTGCGAAGATATAAGGACAATATGGCTATGACCTTGAAGCATGTCAAAGGTCACAAACGGCATTTCCGGTCATTTTTTTAGCAAAAAGTTCTTTAGAACAAATAGAAATATGCATATTCCGAACAATTTGGCACCAATTTAACTCTCTACCACCTGTGGTTGCAGAGATACAAGGACCTTATAGCTTTTATCCTTGACCCTGACCTTTTGACCTTTCGACACATTTTGAAAATATGTTACCAAGCCAAAAATGATTCTTGGACCACCCTAAACCAATTTCTGAAGTCAAATTCTCTGCACCTTAAAGTGCATACAAAACCTGGTCTGGCTCCTAGGGTATACCATGGCAGTTCATTTGGTCTGTTTGTAGTGCTACTTGCTGTTGAATTGGAAATGATTGTGTGTGAGGATGAATTGTGTATGAGATGTAGGGCTGAATTTGTTGAGGAATTGATGGCAAGCGGCTAGGCCCTCCTCACGAGGGATGTTGGAGTTAGGGAGGTGACGTCCATGGTGACGAGGATGGAATTATCAGGGGGATTAGGAGCATCATTGCGTTTTCTGAGAAAATGGGTGGTATCCTGTATATAGTTATAGATATTGGGCAGTAGAGGGGTGAGTATGCTGTCCACGTAACCAGAGATGTATTCGGTAAGGGTACCGTTCAACGTGACCACTCACAATTTTTGATATTTAATGACTGGGTCGAAATTACCCAAGATTCAGCAAAAATTGCCCAAAATTACCCAAGCTTCCTGAAAATGCATTAAAATTTGAAAAATACATGTTTTTCGCATGTATAGTTTCCCTTTTAGTTCAATTCATAAACCAATTTTTAATTGTATAATTGTTTGTGTTAATTATTAAAATTAATATTCATGAGGTGATAATACGGATAGAAAAATACGCCCTCAGTCGGCCAGTGTTATCAGTAGATCAGTGATCAAGTTATATACTTTGTTTTTCCCCATTGTATTGTACTCTGTTTTTTTTTGTTTTTTTGTTTTTTTTAGCAATTAAGAATAAGACTATGATTGTAGGATAATTATAGCTAAAATTGTTCTTAATTGATGTCACATTAAAAGTATGCATGCATTTTGGATGACAGTTTGAAAATTGTTTCTTCACAGTAAAAATAATTTCGCACGGTTAACAAATGGACCGATTCAATTGAAAAGTGAAACAAGTAAGAATTACATAATTATTATTTAATCTAAACAATATTATTATTAATAGGTTAATACCAATACATCAACGAGTTTCATCAAATGTCATTCGTCTTAAATTGTTGTTTCTTTTAATGGTTAGCTTTTTTTGACACAATTTGTTTGTCTCTGTTTACTAAATAGATAAAAGCTTCGACACAATCGACTCCGTCATTAAATCATTAAAACTACAACGATGCCGACCGGATGTACCAGAACCTTTGAGTGATGGATTCTGGGAAAACAAAATATGGCATTCATTTTCTTGCAATACAAAACAATGGACACTCGATGAGATCAAAGTTTGTGTTAAGGGGAGGAAGCTATTATTTATAGGGGATTCAACGTCGCGGCAGTGGTATCACAAGTTACTTGCTTACCTTGGATTTTCCCTTCCAAAAGATATGAAACAGACAGCAATGAATCTACAAAGCGACATTGTAAACGTGACTTTTATGTTCCATTCGTACATTGTCAGTACCAGACTGGAATTGGACAATTTGGCAAACTTCGAGGTTGATCAATTGAATTCGTTACCAACAGACACATGTGATTACATCATTACAATAAGTCCCTTTGCCCACTATGAGCATTGGACAAAGGAGGCATATATAACTCGTCTTGAAAACATTCGTACAGGGATAATCAAATTCAGAAAAAGATGCCCAGCAGCAATTTTTGCCATCAAAGGCTCGCATGCCAGACGAATAAGGGCTGAAAAGAAGAAAGAAATAAATGGGTATTTTACAAGTGATTTGCTCTTATACCAGTTTCGAAGGCTCTTACGTGAGACATTCTCAGGGATGAACGTTCATTTCTTAGACATTTGGGACATGAATCTCTCGTATTACACTCCTAATGAAATGCATATGCCATTTGATGTAATATTACAAGAACTCTTTATGTATTTTTCTTATGTTTGTCTGCAATAATGTTTCTAACAATCGAATGATAATCTAGTTGTGATTATGTGGGAAGTCGTAAGAAGTTCATTACAGTAGTAGTACTGTATTCAAATCGTAACGTCAAAACTGTAATGAAAAGTTAAATGTTTTAATACATGTAACGGGTATAGACTATAACTGAAACATACTATAACACAGAGTCGGTACAACAATGTATATGTTAGAAAGTTGAGACGTTTATTCGGCAATCACAAATCCAAGACTCAGCTGGATGTACAAAAGCAGGCACTTAAATAGAAGAGTTATCTACAAGAATGGTTTACCATGTGGGTTTAAGGGATTAACAATATAGAAATAGGTGTGAAACGGATTGACTACAGGGGGTGGAATGGACACAGGATATGGTAAGGTTTATTAATTAAAACTAGAGAAAGAAAGACTGTATTCTAGAACAAAGGACATTACAGAAGGTATAATAATTAAAACAAGTAGACGTTTAGTCTACTGACTACATACAATTTTGGAAAGTTGTGAATCATTCAAAAAGTATCTTCAATGCTATCTTTATTACATTTTAGACGATTTAACATACACCACTTTCGACTCCGCTCGATGCATTAGTTAGGACTTTGGCGAGGTAAACAACTTTAATACCCACTCGGCAAAAATGCGATTACGTCATTTTGGCGACAAATTCGGTCGGTCTATTACGAGTGTCAAATTGATATATTATGACCACCTAACAAATGAAAGATGCTTGCTCTTATAGGTTCACAAAAATAAGCAATAGCATATGACTACAAAACAAAATCAATAATCAACCATGTCAACTTTTGGCCAATCAGAATGCATCATAAATGGTTAATCCTAAACAATGTAAATATACCAAAATGGCAAGATAATAAAAAATAGATCAAAAATATAAATGATGCTCATTCATATTATGACGGCCACAGAGTGTGCAACTGGTTTTAATTTTCTTCATCATCGAGAAGAACACCAGCTCCAGCCCCAATAGTACCACCGATTACAGCTGCTTTAGCAGTCAGCCCCACAGCTCCAACTGACTGCAACATAGCTCACACGCTGCCTGCTGCTACTCCTCCTCCATTGGCCAAGGCTGTGGTAGACATTATTGCAGCTGCTGGTGGCCCAGCTAGAATACCGGCTGCTTCGAAACCAAGTGCCGCTGGGGTGCTACCCAATTCATTAACCCTGTAAATAATCACACATCCCAATGTATTGATCAATTGTCTGTCTAATACATTTTTTCTTGTTTGATAATTATTGGTAGCGGATTATACTATACTTTATCCACAAAAACAACATGTTATGTTTAAAAGTAGGCCTAGGTGTATTATATTGTTCAGATAATATAATTAAATTAGATGCAATGAAGTGGGTTTAAGGGATTAACAATATAGAAATAGGTGTGAAACGGATTGTCTACAGGGGGTGGAAGGGACACAGGATATGGTAAGGTTTATTAATTAAAACTAGAGAAAGAAAGACTGTATTCTAGAACAAAGGACATTACAGAAGGTATAATAATTAAAACAAGTAGACGTTTAGTCTACTGACTACATACAATTTTGGAAAGTTGTGAATCATTCAAAAAGTATCTTCAATGCTATCTTTATTACATTTTAGACGATTTAACATACACCACTTTCGACTCCGCTCGATGCATTAGTTAGGACTTTGGCGAGGTAAACAACTTTAATACCCACTCGGCAAAAATGCGATTACGTCATTTTGGCGACAAATTCGGTCGGTCTATTACGAGTGTCAAATTGATATATTATGACCACCTAACAAATGAAAGATGCTTGCTCCTATAGGTTCACAAAAATAAGCAATAGCATGACTACAAAACAAAATCAATAATCAACCATGTCAACTTTTGGCCAATCAGAATGCATCATAAATGGTTAATCCTAAACAATGTAAATATACCAAAATGGCAAGATAATTAAAGATAGATCAAAAATATAAATGATGCTCATTCGTATTATGACGGCCACAGAGTGTGCAACTGGTTATATTTTTCTTCATCATCGAGAAGAAAACCGGCTCCAGCCCCAATAGTACCACCGATTGCAGCTGCTTTAGCGGTCAGCCCCACAGCTCCAGCTGACTGCAAAATAGCGCACGCGCTGCCTGCTGCTACTCCTCCTCCATTGGCCAAGGCTGTGGTAGACATTATTACAGCTGCTGGTGACCCAGCTAGAATGCCGGCTGCTCCGAAACCAAGTGCCGCTGGGGCAAAGTCAACCACAGCTACTCCTGCAGCTCCTGCTGCTACCCAATTCTTAACCCTGTAAATATTCACACGTCCCAATGTATTGATCAATTGTCTGTCTAATATATTTTTTCTTGTTTGATAATTATTGGTAGCGGATTATACTATACTTTATCCACAAAAACAACATGTTATGTTTAAAAGTAGGCTTAGGTGTATTATATTATTCAGATAATATAATTAAATTAGATGCAATGAAGTTGAGTACTGTACTCTGTACATTAGTGTAGTACCAATGTAGAAAATATGGAGAAAATATTTTATCTTAATATATTTTCTCCATGTTGTACCTGATCAAATGTTGTGATGTCAAGATTATTTAGTTCCTTGGTGTTGTTATAAATAAGGATTTACTTGTTAATTATGACATAATTATAAAAGGTGAGCCTCCCATTGATATGGAATGTTTGTACACAGTGCTATGCACTTCAACTCTGTGATCTCAACCACTGATTTGTCAGATAGGTGTGACGTTTAAAAAATATGCAAATATTATATTGTTTACCTGCATTTGCTGGCTGAGCAGCTGTGGACAAAATCAGAATGGTGAACACGGTTGCAGTGAGTTTAGTCATCTACAAAAAAAATTCAGAGAAGCGGTATTCAATTCGGTGGACGGTAAGAATGGCCCCGGAAAAAATGGCCCAGGAAAAAATAGCCCCAGAAAAAATGGCCCCGGTAAAAATGGCCCCAGTAAAAATGGCCCCAAATGACAGGTAGGTAAAAATGGCCCCAATAATAAAATTCTATATTAAAACTGATTTAAAAAAAAAATCATTATATGCATTTTTTAAACTGAAATAATTTAGTTTTTAAAAGGAATCTAACATCAAATAAATTGATTGTGGTGCATTTGCAAGTACTTTTTCACCAAAAAATCAACATTTTAACCAAAAAATAGGTTCTTATAAATATTTAATTTTCTTATTGATATACCAAGTGAGTCAGTCACAATTGAATTGTTTGGTTTTCTACAGTGTGTTTTAGGAGGTTTTTGGGATTTAGCATTTGATCCTACCATAATTACTTTACCCTCACAATTACATGCCATTTTAATTCTTAGCATAATTGACATATTTACATAACTATGTATACAATATAGTATCTCAGTTTATATTATTTAGTATAGTTTTAGGCACTTAAATTTACTTGGCAGGGAGTAGAAACCAAGTATGCAATTAAATAAGTTGCTTAAATAAATGTATTCCTAATTATTCAGTTTACTTTAAAAACAATATTTGATTAACAAATACTTCTTTGAAGTAACTCTAAGCAGAACATTTGTTGAGGTAAGTAAGCCTCCCTTTTCCCATACATGAACTTGTCATTCAAACACACAATTGATCCACATGTTTTAACTACTGTTTATTTGCACTGTTTATAACATGTAAAGTTATTTCATTTGATACTAATAACAAAAGTGAATTTTGTGGTTATCTATGAGTTGCATATTTTGGTAGTTGAAGTACTGTATGTATGTGATTCCTCTCTACTTTGTTAGTGGAATAACGTTTTTAAAACTTATTTCAACTATCAAAAAATGTTCAATGGTCGTTGTTTTCTGATAATATCTCAGTACATTATTTGCATCTGTTGTGTAACTGTATTTGGTATTGATTCAATTCTTGCTTATTACAGTATTTAAATATTTGAAGATTTAAAAATTTTTCATTGGGGCCATTTTTACCTACTTGTCATTTAGGGCCATTTTTACCGGGGCCATTTTCACCGGGACCATTTTTTCCGGGGCCATTTTTTCCTGGGCCATTTTTCCGGGGCCATTCTTACCTACATTCATTCAATTCTATAGCCACTGGACTTCTGCTTTCTAAACATGGGGTAACTCTAGGCCTATAACTTCATTCACCACTGACGTAAAAACGAGTCATTTGAATCGGAGGCGAGTACAGATTTGGGGCCCTTGCATGTCAGCAAGGTAACTACTTTCGCTCACAAAGTGGCCGAGAATGGGTATAAATCTTTCTATATGAATGTTTTATAAAGCATTTAATTCAAGGGCACAGATCTGCTTTGAAAGGTGGAGGTGAGATCACACCCACCTCAGCCCCACCAAGGTTTGGACTGAGGTGCGAAAATTTGAGGAAATAGTTCTCTTTAGATGAAAGGGCGCAGATCTGTTTTGAATGGTGTGGGGAGTAGGAATTCCGTGGGACTACACCCATCTCAGCCCCACCATGGTTGGGACTGAGGTGCGAAAATTTGAGGATAGTAGGCCTACTCTCTAGATGCAAAGGCGCAGATCCGTTTTGAAAGTTGCGGGGGTGGGGGGGGGACATTTCATGAGACCACACCCACCTTATCCCACCATGGTTTGGGATGAGGTGCAAACATTTGAGGAAAATAGCATCTCTAGATGGCCGAAAATGACACTCTAATACAGTAAACCTCATCACATCACCAACCATAGAGACCAAATTAATGTGTGATGTACCATAGAAAATAAAACTTGAAAACATTGTCTTTAATGTAAATACTCTACTTTACCTACTTCAAATCCGCGAGTTTACCTCCACCTCAGCCCCACCATATTTTAGGCTTTCGATGAGGTGCGAAATATATAATTTTGTTAAATAATGAAAGTACATTTGGCGCCTGAAGGCGACAAATTATATATATAATTATATATATAATTTTATTAAATAATGAAAGTACAGTACTATGCCTTCCCATTATACACACACTCACCCACCACACACACACACCCACGCACACACACATACATACATATACCTTGGTTTGCCATTGTATTCATTAGCGGTGCTGCAGTGGCATGCGGCTGGCCTAGGCCCTGTTTAAGCTGGTCGAACGTTTCGTCTTGATCTGTATCCTGATAAGGCCTACCAAAACGGGTCCTCTGCAGATATTGGGATTTTTTTCTAGTGGATAATTCGTTTATTTTGTCATTCTGATCGGCTTTTCTGCTGTTCT